AAAATTGGGTTGGCGTTTTTTTTTCTCAATTTAAACTGAGCTAACAAGCGAAGGAGTAGTGGTTTCGACCGAACAGTGAGCTTCCCAACTATCAAGTCGAACTCTAGTCTACAACTATTTTACTCTAGCAGCGTGTGGTTCTTTCTTGTACGTTATTTGTACTAATAAATTACCCGACTACAGAAATTAACATTGATGTATTTAGTTCCGTTCAACTTGATTCATGACAGTTGTTAATTTTGCGAGCCGAGGTTTTGCAGGCTAATTGCCTTGTCTACGTGAACTTTGGCTACATTGTTCATATTACTTAGACATTGCCTCCTCCCATACACCCTGCTGTCTAGAATTAACAATTGGTTTGGCAATGAAGCAATTGCATAGTCGTTTTTGATTTTCTTGAACTAATAAACAAATTACTGTGACTTTTAAGCTGCCATTTAAAGCTTTCTCACACATCAGTTCTACTACCAATGAAGAAAATATATTTTTTGGTACGTTGGCGTTAAGGATGAACAGAATCGGATGATTTGAGCCAAATCTGACACATAGCTCGTAAATATACATTTTCGTCTATAAAGTAATGAAAAATTCACAGTCTATCTTATATTTGAAACATGTTATAAAACTCAATTTTTATGTTTATTCAACTTGCTCTTGTCTCTTACTAAATGTTAGCGTAATCCCGGGTATTACAATTGCTTTCTGGGTTATTAGGTACGTCATTTAGTCTTTTAATCTGTGATTCAAAATTGGCGTCATTCCTCTGGAGGTGTTGTCTGGCGGTGTTTTAGGAGTACACAAAAAATAGTAAAAAATAATTGTTATTAAAAACTGAGATATTTCTAAAAAGCGATATCAGAAAGATGGCAACAATATTTTGCAAGGTAATCTGCCTTATTAACATTACGTAAATACCTGTTGTTTCGTAGTTACTAAAAACTCCGGTAACCATGGAATTATGCACAGTGACAATAAAATAGACAAAGATAAACGGTAAATTCAACACGAATGATTGAATGACGGAGAGAACTTTTTCGAAATGTCAATTATTGTCCTCATAACCTCGAATTGTACATGCTTACAAGTACATATACATTTGAGTCTTTAACTCCAAGCAAGTTCGTGCCTGTGTAATCATCTTATTATATACACTCTTCTCGATCAGCTTCACGTATGCGGTTAATTAACCCCTGCTCAATTTGTACCGGTGTCCAGTAATCCATTTGTTTAATGTCTCCTTGTATTGTGCGTATTTTACATACGTACAACACTTGGATAACGAAGGCTATCCACCTGTAACTATCTGTTGATGACAGAAAACATCATTGCCGCTTTGACTTTTCATCAAAAAATTGTAGAAGAGAACTTTTTTAATATAAAATTTTGAAGTTTGAAGCAAAGATAGTAATTTTTCTTTTTTCTTTAGAATGCTTAAGTATTCGAATATGCTACCAATTAAACATGGGACAATTTCAAAAGAATGCTTAATAATAAAGTTGAAATGCGATTTTCAACTGTTAATATCTTCCCATTTTAAATCTCCTTGTATACTATATGTATACACGGTGATTAATAATTGACGTCATTCCTTTTAAGTGGTCATAGGGGCTCACTTGGAGAGTACGAGAAAAATATAGAAACGATTTTTTTCTAAAATTTCTAGTACCACGTATGTAAGATACGTACGGCACAGGGACACTTTATACCAATGGCTTACTGAACACCGGTACAAATTGAGCAGCAGTTGATTAACCGAATACGAGACGCTGCTCCAGAAGACTACATAATAAGGTGATCATAGAAGGTGATTACACAGGCACTAACTTGTTTGCAGTTAAAGACTGAAATGTTTATTTATTTGTGTAGTGTATACATCAATTGGAGGTTGTGATGATGACAATGTTGACATTTCGAAAAAGTACGTTCCATATTTAACATATCTTGTTGAATTTACCTTTTATCCTTATCTCTCTTATTGTCACTGTATTTTTCCGTGGTTCCCTTAATTTTTAATAATTACGAAGCAACAGGTCTTTACATAATGTTAATTGGGCAAATTACCTTGAAAAACATTTTTGACATCTTTCTGATATGTTTTTTGCAAATATCTCCTTTTTTAATAATAATTAATTTTTTTAACTATTTTTCTTGTACTTTCAAAACCAGACAACATCTCCAGAGGAATGACGCCAATTTTGAATCACCCTGTATATTAAGATCGGTGGTCTGTAGCCACTACTATCTATTCAATTTCTGTTTTTTTAAAAACAAATCCATTTTTATTTATTGCTAATTTGTAACAATAACAATCGGTAGCAATGATTGACATTTAACTATAATTTTAGATACTTAACATAACATGCAATATCTGTTGCAATTGCAACTATGATTGCCCATCCAAAAAAAGCAGTTTTATTTGAACATCCATAATTTTTGCTCAATGTATTTGCTCAAAAATCATTGGTACTAAATGCATATTTTTTTCCTGCAACATTAACTTTGTTTTGGAAAAATGTAGCTCATGTGCGATTTTGATCATTTTGGCTCATACAGGGTGGCTTTTTTATCTTGAAACACACACCGAGGAAAAAAATGTTTCAAATAAGAAGTCAATATCTGGGAGGGGAAGTTTTTTCGTGTCAGAAAAACAACGCCTACTTCGACCTCGTAGGCTAGGCAGGGGACAACTTGAGAATTTCAAATGGTAACCAGAACATTTTACTGGAGATTCTAGTAGTACGTGAAAAAGTGAGAATAATTTACCTGAAACATTTTCTTAGATTTTTACTGTCACATAGTAACAGCGAATAAATTTGCCAATCTGATGTATTTAGAGCTTCAAGCACTTTTGAAAATTATTAGATGGCACTATCTTTTAGACTTCTGTTTTATTAGATATACCAAAAAATCAATGAAAAATAGAAAAAAGCGCGAATGCGTCAATAGTAAATATTAAAAAAAACACCTTGAACAAACCTTTTTTTCAGACTTTTCAATATCACTCAACGACTTTTAAAGATCCTGTATATTAACTTGGCTATTGAAATATATCTTGCATATTTTCTAAAATTATTTTGTCTATACTTTTTGTTTATCCAAGGGTTCATATTGCTCAACTTACAGGCTTTGCAACTCGTTAATTCCTCTGATGATCAGACTTTATTACTACGTCAATTCTATAATAAATAGAAAAAGCAGTGTGGACTCGAACACACTATTAATTGGAAACCAACAATATCCATTCTATTTTTATAATGTATCTAATTAGAGCACTATTTATTTAATAGCCCCACTAATGACACTTAATTCCACCATTACCTTTATCTGCTCCCAATAAAGCATTACTTTTGTATAACACCGTGAAAATATCTGGCTGTTGTAGTTATCTTAGACAGTATGTCCTCGTGTCATTGATTCAGGACGTCGGTTGTAGACGACGGAAAGTTTTCTGACTTTTTAGCTACCGTGAATGAAATATGAGGATAACCTAACGCCTAATGCTGTTATTAAAATAAGAAAAACCGCCGGGAATAATATTTCTACATCATTTTAAAGCAGTTTTTTTTTAAACCATATGGTTCTATAATTTGAAATATGTTTTTTAGTCGCTGTTGCAGAAATGAAAGAACATGTTCGAATATTTATGATACTAGCAGTCTTTCCTACTGCAACATTTTACTTTTTAACTTACCAATAAAACTGAACAAACAGCGTATCCAAACTTTAAAAAAATATGTTGGAAGTTTGAAACCGGCTAACAGATTTTACCATCCTTGTAGCTTTAATTTCCAAATAAGTCTCGCGTAACATAATCTCATAAAACTTTACGAGCTGTGTTCATTGTTTCTCACTGTTATTTTATGCCAACTATATACGAAACTCATCAGTAACGAGCTGCAGCATATTACCAGCGCGCTATCTTTTTGCTAGTAATTTAACGTAGACTGCAGGGCCGTTTTCATTATTAATTGAGGAAAGAATCCAATTGGAATTCGATAATCTGTAAGACCGTGAATGCTGCAAATTATCGAAAATTGCAGAAGTTGTGTTGTTTCTTATGAGCGCCATATTCAGGAGATGATTCCATTAATTGCAATAATAACTTCTTAATAAACTTGCCATTGCGCTGCGTTATTTAATTGTGGTTCTTACTTACGGTCATCATCTTAAGTCCATCATAAAATTAATGAATTCGTTTTTAATGGATAATTTCTAATACGTATATTATTATTAACGTTTAGAGTCGAGATATAAAATTCGATCCTGTACTATAACATATTACCTTGTATATATACTTTTCCCACATATATCTCGATTTGCAGGTCGCTGTTTGGTTTCGAGGTCATAAACATGTCATAATAAAGATCTGGTGCTCTCTTAATAGTCTCTTAACGCCCCTTACTTTGTAATTCAATTTTTAACTCGCTTTATAATTGCCGTCGCACTAAAGGCCGATCAGTTGAGCTGGTCTTAAAAGCGGATTGACTGGTTAGATGATGGTATGACATTCTTAAATGCAATTTTCGATACTGTTGTGCTTTTCTTATACGCAATTTATTATATAAATGCTCATAAACTGAATCCTCCAGACGCATGTTGTCTTCTTAAACGACTTCAGCTTATAAAGAGAACAAAGTCTATAGGGTCCATTTTTATTAGGAAAAGTGTTTTATTTCAAAGGACTGGTATATATTTGTGAATATTTGTATAATATGAATAATAATATGTCTACGTCGATTGAAAAATTTTGAGTGGAAGTGATTACATGTTTTTTTATTTAATTTATTATCTGAAGATTCATTTAAAATTGCAACATTTTACGATCTTATAATAGGCAAATCTTTATTCTATTTTAAAAATTGTTTAAAATATTATCATGTAAAATTTCAATTCATTATTAGTCTAAAAGCGGAATAATTCCATAGCTCTCATTGATATTAATAAATTGTAAATTTGAATTCAATTCCATGAATGCTAATAAATGTTTCTCTTTGTTGTAGATTATGGCCTTAAGAAAAAGAAGCGAAAAATGGGGGCCTCACTTCCTGGTGGAATCTCAGTATCGCAAATCTTGGCTCAACGTGAAAAGCTGGCGATGGAGCAACAAGCGTTTAATAAGGAGATTGTGGCAAATCCACAACAGGTGAGTATTTTTTATAGTTTTCAATATTCATAAACTCGATTTACATTTTACTCTTAACTGTAAAACATATGGAAAAGTAAATGTTTAGACTCAGTCTAAGTATTTCTCTCTGTCTCTAGTCTCACAGTAAATAAGTCTTAGATATTTTAAATGGTGCAAATTGTACTTTGTATAGATTTTTAGATAGATGTTTTAGTATTGATAAAAATTGCGCTATTTCTATAACAATATCTTTTTTCAATGAGAGTAGAAAAATAACAACCCGTTTTAGTTAAGATTTAGTATTATTCTCTTGACAGATCGTTAATAATTTGAGATCAGTTTGAGTTGAGATCGTTAATAATTTAGTCAATTCAAGCCTTTTTAAAACATTGAATTTTTATTTTATTCTTATTGAACACCCGATGTTATGTATATAAGAAGAATAATGTTGCCAAACTCAGCAATAACCGATACAGTTTGCCGTATAATATAATATGAAAGTTCTGTAAAATAATTGCATTGAATGCAATTCCGGATTGTGTCTGGTTTCTGAAAAGCAGACTCAATTTCACTTGATTTCTGGAAACTATAAAATGTTTAGATGTGCAACTATTTTTCAATTACATATTAAATAAAATATATATTCATACTGAGATTTTTATCTTGGGACTTTTCTTCTGCCCTCGCTAACTAATACGTAGGCTACACTAATAATAATAAATAATTAATATGGTGTGTTTTGTGTAAACGATATTTACTTTTTGTTAATTCAGTTTACTGTAAACTATAAAAATATAATTTTTCACGTTGAAACAGATGTTGTCGATGTTTCTGGGCTGAAACTAGAATTTGTATCTAGCTGCCAAAGTTGTGGAGTTTACTCTATTACAGCTTGGTCAATATATAACTGAATCATTAAAAACATGTTAAGCAACGGTACCAACACAATCGTGCAGAAAATTTATAATAACTGATTAAGTTCACTTCCATATGAACGGATTTGATAATTCTCAGTTCGTGGCAATTTAATGTGGCGTTTGGTATGGAGGTGTCATGAACCGAAGTTGAAAGTAGAAATACTGCAGGAACCTTTAGTGTTATTGTCAAGCTCTACCACAATGCAATCCTTTCGGGTTCATCAAATTCAACAACTTTCCCTGAAAAACATGTGGTTCCAGCAGGACAAAAACACACGAATCGCAGCTACAAACTATGCGGCTGTAAATTCGGCTCTCATTATTCCTCTCGAAACCTACCGACAAATGCAATTAAGTGGGTTTAGAAGTTCAGGTTAAAATTGTTAAAACTGTAAAAGCTATATTATTTCATTTCATTTTAAAACTATTTGATCAAATAATAAGTCAGTTACATCTGGGACACCCCATATTTGGGTATCAAAGTAATAGTTTCATTCAGCTCTAGTTTTTTCGTGTTATGGATATTTTTTGTTACTCGTGCGTATATGATTAAAAGCCTTGTAAAACTAGGGGCTATCAAAAAAGGCTACACGTTGTTTAATATCGCAGTGTGAATTCGATTAGGCAACTCAGCAGCATGTTTGATCAACTTGGCAGCTAAAGATTTACACATATGCCTATATCACTACCTATATATCTTCATTGTGAAAAAGAGTTAATCACAATATGTTTTGTTTTTTACAGGTATGGCCTTCCAACAACCCAACTAGTCACAGCAATTCACAAGGGTTTGTTGACAATCAACAGACTTCTTTGATGCGATGCCATGAATCGACAGGAGGTCGAATGATGACAATTTCTCCTGTAGTGATAGGAGATGATACGTCACCCGTTCCTGAACTGAACTCTCATAGTCCCAGCGTTCACATTCATTCGCAGCAAATACTAGGACCGAATGGACAAATTATCAATCTTCAGGAAATGCCTCAAGGTCACGGAGGTGTGGTGCACCAAGGACAAAACCATGTAATGCAGGGTCAAAACATTAACGTGATGCATTCCCATCATCAGCAGCAGCAGAACAGACTTTATTTGAATACTCAGCCATCAGAACCTAGTGGTCCAGGCCGGCCAAGCATGCATCTTGCACAGTCAAATATCGGCGTATCTCAGCAACTCAAGGGATCTGATGTTCAGAAAAAAATTCAGCAACAGTCTCAACTTTTTAACAACCAGCAAATGCAGCATTATGAAAACGTTGACCCCTGTAAAAGCATAAGATCGTTTGGATTTAATGGTTCTAGACCGCAGTCATTGCCACATCAAACCCATTTAGTTCAGAATAATCTAATGCAACAACAACAAATGCAACAAAAGTTTCAGTGGCAGCATAGAATGCACAACTTGAATCAACAGCAGTTAAATCAAATGCATATTCAACATCACCAACAACCAAACCTGCAAAATAATCAAAATGTGAATATTTATGAAAGAGTTCCACCACTTCATCAGCATACTCCCAACGCTATATGGCAAGATGAAATACGAAGAAAAAAAGTTAAGTTAGGAAAAGCCGTTAAGAACCGACAGTATCATATGGTGGATAATTGTCAAGTGCGAGGAAATTTGGGGCCATGCCCTAATATAGATGTTCGGCAGATTCCCAATGAAGGTGCAAGATCTATTATTACGAACCAATTACCGCAGCATAACCAAAACGCATCTAGTCCGTCTTTTTTGGAGGATCCCAGTGGATATTTAGCACAACAGACTGCTTTGCTAAATAATACCATTAGTAGGCAAACAGGTGCCAATAATCCCTCTTATGGATGTACAAGTTCAAATATCGCAATGCAGGGTACCGAGCATAGTATTATGACCATATCAAATTCTCCATGTAATGAAGTTTCTTTGCCTAGTAATATTAATGCGACACTAAAGCCACAAATGTCCAGAATAAATCAAAATTCTAATCTGATGAAGCAGCAGCAGCAGCAGCCAATTCAACAAAGCATTATGCATAAACCCCAATATAGTCATCATCAACAAAATGTTGCCGACAGTAGTGTCGTTCACGATCATCAGATGCATCACTACATTCAACAGTGTCAAGGGTGTGTTTCCGAGTCCAGTTCATTTTCTCAAAGTAGCCAAAGGCCCAAGCATAGCAGCAGATCGGATAGTGCGCCCAGCACTCCAAGTTCTTGTGGAACTTCAGACGATCCAGTAACGTCTTCAATGTACTCAGAAAAACAGCATAGTCAACCGTCTCCGGACACAAGACCTATACAAGGAGGAACTGTCAGTACCAGCAATGTATCACCCATGGACAGTATACATTCTGACCCACCAACACCAAACTCTCATACTCCTACTCCAACTCCGCCTCAAAAAATGTCGGACTTTGTACAAAACGGAAATGCTTCATCGGGCTTTAGTATACAGAATCATGAAGGACAAATAGTTCAAATTGTAACTCAATCCAGGGAAAATTACATTCAGCAATGCCAACAAGAACAGCAGAGTCAGGAACAACAGCAGTATATTCAACAGCAATTGCAGCAGCAAAATAAGAGCAGTTCAAAGTTTGATCCAACTTACATATATGCGCATTCTAGTCAAAACACCTCGAAGGCTCCTGATAAATCAGGATTTATTACCAGTGTGGTTACTACCATGGCAAGTGGACGAACTTCGGGCTGTAACACTATAACTTCCGTTCTAGCTGGTCGGACAAATACTGCCACTGTTTCCATCAACCAGTCCGGCTCTAACACTCCTCCTTCATCCTCTTCGGGAAATATTAACTCAACACAAGCCATGCATATTACAGTTTCCAAAAGTCCATTGGAAATGGTACAAAGTGTAGTTAGTAGTATTCAAATTCCACATTCTCAGCATCACAATATAACAGTATCCATGTCTCAAACTAGTCCTCAGATGTCGCCTCAGATAGTGAAACATTCACCTTCTGGGTTACCACCCGGTCATATTTTGGTTTCATCCAACGGCCAGCTAATAATGGCCAGTGCCGGAACAGGGCATGCGAACATGATGGCACCGCCTCCCCCACCAAAAGTTGTTACTAGTCAAAACGCCATGCCCCCAATATCTGTATCGCCTATGGTTACGAATGTTACTGGCGCTATGTCTCAAGTCATCCCTGCAGTGGCGCAGCAGGTTCTTGGACAACAGACGGTGTTAGTAAATACATTACCAACACCGTTTGTGATTCAACCTGGCATGACCATGACCATGGACGGCATGACAGTAGGTCAAAATATGCAAATTCCCCAAATTGTCACCGGTAATGTAATCCAACAACAAATTCAGCTGGACAATAATGACGCTAGAAGAGCCACATTACTTTCACCGGAATCGAAAAAGAAAGGTAAAAAGCGAAAACTGCCTTCACAGACTGTAGCGGGTATGTTGCATATTGCCGCACAGCAGAATTCAGGTATGGTAGTAAACCAGCAAGGCTTTCCATCACAAATTCAAATGACGCATAGTCCCCAAGGATTAACCACTACTCCGATGATGCAAGCGCTAACCATTGTTCCGAGTAAAAATGGCGGGCCTCCGCAGATTGTTATGAATGGACAAGCTGTGACCAATGCAAATCTGGGAACTCAGCAGATTATAGCAAACTCTCAGCCAACTCAACAAATTAATTTACTTCAACCAGTTAGTTTGATCAATGGCACCACAGGCGTGGTTCAGAATATTCCGGCTATTCAACAGTTTATCGTTCCTAATATCGGCGGAAGCATGGTAATGAATGCTGATGGAACAGCCACTATTCTTCAAGATACGTCTAACTTGGGTATGCAGTTGCACATTCAAAACGTCAATGGGCAAAACGTTCTTACACCTATTCAAAATAGCAATATGTTTAATGGTGGGCAGAGTATTCTTGCTACGGGTCCAGCGGGAATGGTCATTAGGGCACCTACTTCGCAAGGCAAAATAATACAGCCACAACACAGTCCAGGGGCTCCATTTTTGTCACCAAACGGCAGTCAGTTTGTGGTAAATGGTGCTCAGTTCAGTGGTCAACTAAGCCCATTAGTTGCCAGTGTGAGTCCTTCGCAGCAGGTGACTTTCAATACGTCTCCTCAACAGATGAGGTCAAATAATCAAATGCAGTCAAACCAGCAAGAGTTTATCCAAGTGAATGGTCAAATGGGTCAAACTCTGATGGTTCCATGTACACCTCAGCCACAGAATATCACATCGTCGCAATCAAATCAACAAAATACTACGTTTGTTCAGCAGAACACTACAATTGTTCAACAGCAAACTACGATGGTGGCCAACAACCAACAGCTACAAAGTTTCCAACCTAACAATCAACAGGCGCAGGCACAGCAAAACGTTACGCGATCAGCAGCACTTAACTTAGATCAGCAGAACTTTATGCTTAACACAGTGGATAAAAATCATGTTCAAGCATTGTTGGTTCAGCAGCAGCGGAACAATTCTCATGAGGGCAGTAACTATCGGCAATCCGTTTCCACACAGACGGCAGTAAATCAAAATTCTCAATCTGTGACTACTAACACGTTCTGCCAGACATCTGCTCTATCTGCGGGGAGTCCGCCCGATACTACAACATTGAGTCCCGCTGCATCTGGTGGTCAAAGTCCCCCAACTGCTGATACTACCACGCACACCGGCAGCACCGACGACGGTTTATCGCCAGCACCTTCAAATTGTTCAACTTCATATGGTGATATCAATATTCCTGGAAGGCCTGGCTCGAGAGCTATGGTAAGTAACAGTTTTTATTTTATTTAGTTAACATGTTGTTTTACTATTTACTCTACTGCTACACAACCATTTATAGCAAAAAACTCGCATATTCCACATTATAACAAATTTGTTTTCTTTTTTAAAATTATTATATTGTAGAGTATGGTTTTTTCGTATATTTGTAATTTTTATGTATATAAAGTGTGTTTTTTTTATACAGGTGTAGAATTTTAAATTGAAATAGATCTCATAAAATGTATGTTAAGGTCATGGTACTGGCTTTATTGAAAAGACAATTGTATGCCATTATAGCTTAAATATGATTTGGGCCCTTCGGGCGTTGTGGTTGGCTCGAATGAAGAGCAATCCACGAAAAAAGTCCAACTTTCGACCACTTTGATTCAACTAGACCATAAAAAGCACATCAAACAGTTATTTTTTCTGGTTTTAATAGCTTCAGGTCTCTTATCGAGACCTCGTTATATAGAAACACTCACTGTTTTTTGTGCTTTATGGACTGGAACAAGTTTAGGAGTTCGAAAGTTGGACTTCCAGATGTTCTTCATTCGAGTCAGCAGCAGCGCATTATACCCCAAATCATAGTTGAGCGATAATGGCATACAATAGAGTCTTTTCAATAAAGCCGGTACCATGACCTTAACATGATTTTACTGAGTTCGATTTCAGTTTAAAGTTCTATACCTCTAAAATAACGTCCTTTAGTATATAGCCCTATAATAGAAACTGTTCTATAATCAGAACATCATGGTTTTTGTAAGTTGAACTATTCAGGGCACGTTTGCATCACATTGAGTGGTTGTTTTGTGCGTTTTGTTCTGCAGATTGTATGTATGAACAAACAATCGAAAAATAATCGAGGACTTCTAAACGATGGTTATATTAACTCTTGAAGAAAATTCCGAATTTATTTACTAGCTGGAATCCACATGTTCATTCATGTCCAATCATTATGGGCTATTCAGTTAATGTTTCTACCATCCAATTGTATCATATCTACAACTTGATTGTAATGCAAAATGTGAAAGTTAGATATCAAAGCTCTGCGCACTGTTTGAGGAATGTATCACTGAAAACGAGGCGCCTGAGTGATCCACACCTTTGACGCAAGAATTCATGTTGCGTCGTTCTGATTGATGCTGGCTGGTCTTTGCACCAATCGGAGCGGAGGGGGCGTGTCTAAGTCAGATAGTTGAAACTGTCGTCGATTTACGCCACAACTGAAATTATCAAGTTAGATTGCAATGAATAAAGAAAATATTGGGTTATCTAACAAACCTCCGCACACACCGGCTATTTGGTTTTTTTGTTCGAAACCTGTGCCCGCTACAATTCGAACGGGATCCGGGGCAGGCAACAATAACTATGGAAGACTGCCTCAGTTTTAACGCAAAACGTGTAAAACCGTCAAGAGTGCAAAATTCTGGGTGTAGATTTGTGGATTACGTTTACAAATTCTTTTGATCTATATGACAGATCAGAGATTAACATATTTCTACAGAAAAGTTGTCCATGTTTTGTCTGCGGGTGTGTTCTATGATGGTTTGTAAATTGTTTCAATACATAGACATTTGTACACATCAAAAAACATTACTTAGCTGTTTTAAACCGTTTCACAGGGATTTCAAACTCATACTTTGAGTTTGCTCTGCTTTTAAAATATGTTCAATCATAAACTGTTATATAGTCAAATTAAGTTTTCTGTTGGAAACTCGACTCAACTTAACCCATATCTTATCTTTTTGCAACAATATTCGCCTCTAAGCCTCAGGTTTTTCTTATTGTGTCTTTATGCAACCTTAATTATATGTATAATATGTATTGTCGAAATTTGATTCAATTCAATGAAATGGGTGCGTTTTTTTAGAAAATGTGTCGTTCTCTACAACGAACTAAAAGCAGTATTTTCAATTCACCCTTCCAGATTTATAGAGAATGCCCCGCAGTCTCCTTCGGAGTAGGTTAGCGGTTTTGCAACCCGCTTTTTGGCTTTGATTTATATAAATAATTTCACCTTCAACTAGGGTTTTCAACCTTCTCACCCGAAATGACGGTCCGAAAAATCCCCTTTGATTTTTGCACATTATTTATATCAGAATATGCTTTCTTGTTTAATAATCAAATACAGTAGTTTTGAATATAACTAAGACGATGGACATTAGTTGGGTACTATGGAATATTTCTTTAACATTAAGTCTCAATACAAGCAAAAGTAGATGTAAATTAAAATTTGTATGTGTATAGGCAATGGTCCACTGCGTGTCAAGTAGCGAACCCGATTTACTGGAAGCTACCAATTCTCAGACTGAGCAGGATTGGAGAAAAATCAGCCAATCAACCAGTTCCATCAAAGAAGAATATATGGCGATGAAGCATGAGTTCTCAGATGTTAGTAGTGGACAAATGCATTACAACAACAAAAAGCAGCAAAGCACAGGCCAGATTGCTTACGAAGAGTCAAACATTGGAATTCACATCCTGGATCAAAAAATTAAGCAGAACGTCCTGACGGCCAAACATTATGGCAAATTGATTCATCAAAAGCGAAGCAATGATGTTATGCTCGTTATGGATTCTAGACACATGTCTATGTTTGGGGAAGAAGATGACGGTAAGTACATTTTATGATATTTGCTGGTGGTTAACTATATGAGGCTTCTGCTTTCTCTTCAACAATAACCCATGCTTATATATTAAGTCTGATATCAAAATTGCGATTTGGGTGTTAGAGCTTATGGGATAATCGTGAACACTTGCTTACCTTAAAGCATCATCTTGCATGCATGTTATAATATAACATGATTTTCTTCATACTAGTTCAGGTTCTCGAAAAAACATCATCAGCAATTGTGTAAAGTAAATGGGCTTATTTTTAAGATATACTTTTGCATTAACAATCACATGTAGCACTAATTGATTTTCTGACAAATATTTCAATGATCTCTAGGAGGAGCAAGTATTTAACTCACATGTACGGCGCCTTCGCCATATCTACTGTATGTAAAAAAACGTGGTCAGAAGTTTACTTTACACTGCTTATACTAGTGGAGGAATATATTGAATAGATCGAGATGTGTCCAGTTTTCTTTGAAACAACACAATGCAAAGTGCTCTATGAGCCTAAGAGTATATCAGTACCAAAGCTAAAGTTGAAACTGGTGTGTTTTATGGGGTTTTTAGGCTGCCGTGGATAATATTTTTTCAGTCGTTTTGCAACTACGAGTGACTTGCATCTTCAGAGGTGGCTGGTTGGCACGACTTACTGACGGCTAAGCGTTTGAACAAACTACAAATGAGGATGCAAGCCACTCGTGCTTGCGAAATGTGAGGAGCCAGAACGGCCCAAAAACCCGAATAAGTCAGGAAATTTCAAGGAATGGGAGGAGGCCGCTCTTATTTAATAAACCTAAATCTTTTTTGGAACATACTTGCATAAAATATGAATCAAAAGTGTATTCAGAAGAAATCTGGTTAGTGAAACTGAACAATGCGAAATCGATGGTCATGTAATATTTCCAAAATGAAATAGAATTGAAAAATTGTTTGAAAAATAATATTTTATTGTTAGGCGTCGTTCACCCCGAAAACCATTTTGCATAGATCAAAATATTTATAAATTGCGACATCACCGACCACATGCCCTTATTCTCTTCTTAAGTTGCGACATCAAAGATTATCTATATTTTATATTTATATAAAGTATTTTAAATGCATGCGAGTGAATTATTCAAAATCTCAGACTAGATTTGGAATACGGATGTTTACTGCAAGTTTATAATAGTAGATGAACATGTGTTTTATGGTTCCTTTATTATCTTATGCAAAGGTTTATCTCATTTAGTGAGTGGAAAGTGATCGAAGACTTCATTTTCACTAGAACCACCACTAATAGAAGATGTCAATAAAATATTATCTATAAGCTGCCCTTGTTAAAAATATCAAAAGTGTTTGTATTATAGCAAAAATTATCATTATATGAGTTTCAAAAGAATATTTTAAATATTAAACAGGGCAACGTACATTTATTGATTTTGCGGTAGAATTACGGAAATATGGTTAAATCAAACGGAAAACAAAAACGGTTTAACGTGATATTTTAATTGTATTATTGGTTCCATCGTTGAAGTTGAAAATATGTCCTTAGCTACGTAGAAAATATTAATTCTGGTACTAAAAAATCTGGTTAATTTTTATAGTCGGCCTTCTTGTATAACAGTTAGTAGCAAATTTTACGCCAGTATGCATAGTTAAGTTGCATCGATTCGACGTGATGTCGCCGATATGGATGAACACAGAAGTACTGTTGCCAGAGCTTAGGTAAAAAGTCGCATAGTCACAAACACAAAGTCGCTCAAATCGTTTAACGTTGACGAAGACTTGGCTGTCCTAGCTTTTATCGTCTATTTTGGCGCATATGGTAAATTCAATCTTTCAGACGCATTTTAACAAATTTGATTGCCTAATTAGGGGCTTGTCACTCACCTTGGCAGAACTTGCAGAAAAATATCCGTTAGCCGAGATAAAAAGATTATCATAATCGTTCGTTCGCCGATCTTATGTATGCTCAAATCGGTGTCGGCGAAATGTTGGGGATGGTATGACCCATCTCCCACAACACCGCCGAGTAAATACTTTTAGAAAGTTGGGTCACGTGTGTTTTAGTATAAGTATTTAAACATTCAAAGCTATTAAATATGGATCGAGATCTTGAAATGTTGTATACAGTACATCGAGATATTTCGGATGCAGAATTGGATATGACGTCGTTGGTTCGCTGCTGACTCGCTCATCGCTATACCAGTATATGTTATCGGCGAATCGCTGCGATCCACTATACGCGCGTTAGACTTGTTATTCTGCACATATTTCTACGAATTTAGTGATGCGAATTTAAAATATAATTTTTCTACTATTACTAACTTACGTGAATGTACAAAACATTGTTTCATATTTACTCAGCTACATACATGCACGTCGCTACTTCCATTGAGTTTACTGTATTAAATAAATTTTTCAAATATACTTCGTGGCATCCTAAAGCAACAATAACAAATAATAAAGCTTTATCTTCTAGTTAGATTACAGTAAAATTTAAGCACAAATTTTTGTGCTTACGAGACAGAGATGAAACAGTAGAGGATGACCAAGTCTTCCATCATGATTAATCTTGAGTTAAACCGTCACACCGTCTACTGCTTTGTGCCATTTGATATCCTAACAATCTACGTTTTATTTCAAATATTCGTCGAAATAACTTGTTTGAGATTTATTCATGCAATCTTAGAAACGTTTTGCACAAATGAAAGCCTGATAGGATTGTTGAACATTCGAAATGCAAGTATACTACAGGAACAGGTCTTATAACGAAGAAAGCATGATAATGTTCGCTGCTGAGCGAAAATGAATTTAATTTAAAACAGTATTCAAATTAGGTGCAGCGAAAGATAATACTGAATATACGATACATTCTCAAAAGGATGAATTTTGGGATATATTAGTTTTAGGTTATAGGATATAAATTGTAAACTCTGGAAGTTGATTTGTTACTGAACATTCTGGTTTGCTGAGCTTTGTATTTTAGTTTCGGCTTTGACGGAGCATTCATAGTTTGTATATTCCGATTATTTGAAGAAATATTGTTGTTTTGCCAAATTTATTTTTCATTATATTTGCTCCCTCAAAGCTTGAAATTATGAATGTTTGCTCCATTTTGTTATTTATGACAACTTCATAGCAAACTAATCTTCCTGTACATATTTATTACTGAATAAAAATGTAATTTTTAAGGAAAAATTCGGGCTAAAGGACATTGTACATACTACAAAATATCTCACTTTTCTTTGTGCACATTAAGGTGTGGTTAACTTTCCAGAAATATATTTCGGGTTCTTAACATGGTGTGCGCTTGTTTGGTTTTCCCTAATTCACCATTTTTTGTAAAAAAATGTCATCAAAATCTTCATTGACGCTTCTTGCTTTCTTTTTATGCAAATTTGTGACGACCCATCAAGCGAATTGTTTCTTACTTTAGAGACCCGCAAAGATGAGCCATTGGAACCCGAACACGATTTGAAGCCGAATCGCAATTTTAAGCTTGGAGATTTGGTATGGGGCCCGACTAAAGTTTCGTCTTCTTGGCCAGGAAAAATCGTAGAAATTATGAAGGATTTAGCTGTCGTCAAGTGGTTCGGTAGCGAGAAAAATCTTTCGAAAATTAAGATTGATGCGTTGCAAACATTATCTGAAGGGTTCGATTCTCATCATCAGGCCAGGAAGAAAGCCAGAACGTGAGTTTTTGGAATTTCAGCCACACCATCATGAAAATCATAATTGATATATGCTTATCAGTAACTGTATATACACATTAATAGTTTGCTATTGCGATTTAATTTGTTAGTGTTGGTTTCTACTATATTTTTATTAAGTTTCTTTCCCATAAGCACCATTGTGTGAACTAACTAGGTTATTATAATCTTCATCAAATCTATCACGTGACTGGTCGTCTCATTTTTAAGGGACATGACTGTAAAAGTTGGCTAAATGAAGTCTGGGTCCCATGCAATCGATTTCCGATGATACGACGACCCGACAGAGCTTCTATTGGTCGGGGTAAATGTACATCCGATGTCGATTTTTAGTTGTAGCAAGAATTCGATCACTATCGAAGCAGCTTTTTAAGTTTTGCTTGATATCGTTGGATAATGGAAATATTTATTTCATTGCTTAATCTAATTTTTTGGAGTACATTCAAGGAATATTCGATATTCGGTTTTTAAATAAAACCTTTTTCATACTTTTTTAATTCCTGTTTGGATTAATCCATAAGAATTATAACAGACGCACTTTTTAATCATATGTTATGGTAAAAGTTAAGTTTTCATTATTAAAATTTGATAGTCCATGACAACGACAAAACTCATTTCAGCATAATCAATATGTGAATAGTGAGTATGAGGTTAAAAAATCACACGATATCGAATGATATGTAAACATCTTTCAATTTGCCACAACGACGGACGGCTTAAGCCCGTGTCCCATGCATCCGTTTGTATGGTGATACGATTATACAAAAGTGTTTCTATTGGTTGGAAATCTGTCAGTTCGTACGACGACGGACGAATTGACCGATCGCCAACCAATAGAAACACTTTCGTATCATCGTACAAACGGATGCATGGGACACAGGCTTTAATCTGATCTAATTGTGAAAAGTGAAAAGTCGGATCGTCGGCTCATCGGAAATCAGATGCGTGGAACAAGCCTTTATAGTAGAACAATGCCTTAAGCCTTAAATTTATTCTTTTCATATTTTATTTCAATAAGTTAATTCTTTTCGACACGAAAGATGACCAAATTCAGTCCAGCCTTGCACGGCGGTCATTTATGTTCTATTGTAATAATAATAACGTCAGTGTATCTGTACTCTCTATTATTTTTACAAAACGAACATTTTAAGCTGGTGTGATAATTTGTTGCGGATCGGTCACACGGCCGTACATTCAAGCAGGCACAAAAATATAAATTAAATTAATGCACGGTTGAAAGCTATTGGAAATACATGATAATCGAAATGATCAAAACTTCAGTACGTCCTAGTATGCTGAAAGAGCTTTGAGACCCATTTTGGTATAAATTTTGATCTCAACCGGTTTGCTTTAGAATATTGTTCCTGCGTATAATAATGAATATTGTAACATGCCTCTATATTTTGTTGGCAGATCAATTTGATGATGTTAATTCATCACACTTTATATCAATTCTGGACATCTATTCAGAGAAATTTTTAATTTATAGTTTTTTAGTTAATGATCTGAATCTTTTGAGGACAAACGACGGAATTGTTTAGGAAAGTATTCGTTTAGATATCGATGCACTCTGTAGGTAATACATATCTAATCACGATATGAAATACACGAAACGAATTTCTTAGCCACGTTTAGTTATCCTATTCATTTAATTTAAATAGACAGAAAGATACTCATTTTCTATCGCATGATTACTTGTGAATTATTGAGTAACACTGTTGAGTTGCGGTGCCATCAAAGATGTTGTCTAATACCAAAATAAATAAGTTGATAAAATAAGACAGATTGGAAACGTGAAATAATATAACATCATAAAGTAGGGTTGTTACTTAGATTCCATCGTTATGTAACACGTCTTCTGGACTGTTTGGTGGCCTGTGTAACAAGTGTTTTTCAACGTATGACGCATGACATATTCAAAATGTGTAGCAAAAAATAATAATGAAGACATCAAATATATACACATAAGGTGGCTGCTTAATGTGTGTAACGTAATCTGCTCTTCAAATAGAGCAAAAAGTCTAATAAAATTAAGGCGGCTTTATAATACAGCTATAGCTATAGTAATAATATAATTAGCGTTAGTAAAGTTTTGGTTTCGATAATCCGCATAAAACAAACCACACAGTTAACATCACAGTTTTTAGCGAATAATTGGTGTTGGGTTATTGATAACATGGCTATTGTCATACCTATTTATTTTTGGCAAACATTTAACTGCTGCAGGTAAATTTTTAAAATTTCTGGAAGTTTTTTGTTGAAGTTGTAGAAAGTTGCTAGGCCTTGAAAAAACCTTACGGTGATATGCAAGTGTGCAAAAATTCAGCAATTTCATTAGTTGTACATATTGAACACGATCGAACGCCTTTTCGTAGCCAACAAAACAGGCAAATAGGTTTTTGCGCTAGGCTTGCACGATCGAAAGCGCGAATGAATTCAGTTACTTCATTAAAATACTGGTCTTACATAGGAACAAATTCCCAGCGAGTGTCATTCAAATCCATTTCACCATTTTCTCGATATTTCAAAAAAAAAAAGTTTTTTTTCAAGATTTTTGACCATTCATAACAGAGAAGCCGGATATCTTTTCTTGATAAAAGTTAGGTCAGATCATCTTCTTTTCATTCAAAGGATATCGAAGTACCCTTTTGATCATGTGCTTACGGGAATCCTGTATATTTATATAGCGTTCCATTTGATAATGCTCGGCCAATAAAACCACATCAAACTATGTTTATTTAATAGCTATAAGATTTTTTACTCTATTGCGACTAATGGTTGCGATACTAGGTAGTGATATAGGAGAACCCTGTATGATATAGGCTGGTCAATTTATCGTTTACCAACGATAACTTAAACTTAAACTAAACTTAACACTTAAAAGCATACATAATGCTCTTAAAAAAAAATTCCATTTTTTATTCGTAATAAGAACATTTCTAACCAGCAATTTTATAATACACTTAGTTTCGCTAAAGCGACATATATAGGCAATATATAGGAAGATTTAAAATTTGCGTCATTTTTCTGGGTTGGTGTTCTGGGGGTATTTGGGGAGTACAAACCACGTTTTTTTCAACGACATTACCTAGCTAGCTGCTGCTTCCAACAACTGCTAAATTAACCCAGTTAACAGATGAAAGTAATAAACGATCATTACACTACTTTAAAATATTGCATAATAGCAAAGCTAAAATTGCATATTTGAGAGCTAACATGTTTGAGAAATAAACTCAAAATGTACTTATTCTCTACATACTTTAACTACTACAACATTTGCCCCATACTCTGCAAACAAGTCGCAGTAATTACTTAAACGAAATTACACTAATATTGATTCACTGTGTACCGTAATATATGTAGAAGTTGTTATTAATTTAATTTGAACCGAAGTGCTTTCGCATTCATATAGTTAGAAATACTAAACTAGACTTCATTTTAAGGAAATATGAACAGTATTTTAACGACTGTTTTCTGTTTTCAGTAGTCGAAAACTGAACACTCAATTAGAACAAGCCATTCAGGAAGCCATGGCCGAATTAGATAAAAGCGAATCCAGCAATCCTGACCAAGAAGACTATGTTAAGGGTAAAGTTACTTCTTCTGATACCAAGAAGGTCTCGTCGAGATTGAGAAGTGGACAACGATAAAGAGTGAAGTTATATGTATCTCATCATATTATAGGACCAACATCGAAATATAACCCTGTGTAAACCTAGATAAATTTATATATCTACATAGACAGATTTAACGCTTTTAAATGTTTATAATAAGATATACAGTTAGCGAACCATAAAAGCTGCATTTTAACTTTCTAACTAACAACAACTGCCCTTGAAGCGCCTATCCCATAGCCATAGTTTGTTTTCGAAATTGTTTATGATTTTTATTACGGATAATTAATTTGAAGTTATCGGACTTACGGGTCTGGGTCTAATCATCTATCAGTCTATCTAATTATGAAAGTTGAAGAAAACTTTATTTTACATTTTCCCTAAGTGTTTACAGTTAAATGCCTTCGAAGTATCTGATAGGTTATTCGAAAGGGGTATAAATTAGATGTGATCACACTAGATTTTTAATGGTGTCTTGTATGTTTTCTTATTTTTTAATAGGCAGTTGTGTCTAACCTTTCAAACAACCAAATTGTTTGTAAATTATCAAATATTTTATTGGGTCTTTATTGGTTCGCTGTACTCAAGTAGGCTGATGTAATACTGGTATATTGATTCCTAGACAACAGAAATTTAAACACCTATATCGTAAAAAACTGAAATATTTTTAAAATGACTTTTTTTAACTTGAAAGTAGGTAATAATAATAATTAAACTTGCAGTTTGCAATATAACTGAGAACGTACATGGAATGAAAGATCAAAATTACGCATCATCTTTGCGGATATTGTGTGATTAATGCATAATTGATTTCCCTTAAGAGTGGTTACTACTTTTTGAAGTTACAATTATCCTGCGTAGTCTAATATTTTTTTACCCTTGTCAAAGAATTGGCTTGGCGCCGATTATTACATACATCGCAGTAGCTGTACCATTCTAGATTTATCTGGTTGAAGATTTGTAATATTGCTAAAAAGTAATAATCATATCTCAAAGGCTAGGGAAAACTGGGCCTTCAAAGATTTTGTATATAATATCTGATTAGTTGTAAATGTTTTTATATAGCATAAACTATAGATGTAAAGGAAGAATAGGTTATTTTGAAATTGAGCATTTAAACTTTTTTCTTGTCTGTTTTAAAAAACTGTTTGTTACATTGATCTATGAAAAGAACGTTAGTATGAGCAAAAAAATGTTAATTTGTTATTTTTATTACTCTTCTTGTACTCTCCTACCCGACAAATGTGTATTATCAATCATTAATTTCGTTTCGTAATATGTGCAATTATTTCATTAAAAATTCGTGATGGCAAATTTATCATACAAAAATATGACTGCCACATTTTTAAAATTACCTTACTAGCTGGCCATCAAATTTCAATTATTTACAATATTTATACACATAGAAAATATAATATTTATATACTTATATGCATACTTGTTTAGTTCCACGTAATTTTAAAGTTCTCGTAAATTATGACAAAGATAATTTCCCTTATGTATTGAAATATATGTGAAATTACTTATATATTTTTTTTTGGATTCTGAACCAACCATGGCAAAACCAGAATACATTAACCATCTTTTCGCGGTGGTTTTTTTGAAAGCAGTTTACTGGGAGAATACCTAGATCTCAATTTCGTTTTTGCTGAAATGAATTGAAACCATTTAACGGTTGCTGCCGTTCTTAAGATCATTTTAACAGTATTTCCTCAGACCTAGTAATGTATCATCTGGCATTCAGATAAACGTTTTCCATCAGATGCTTTTATCCACAAACTTTGGGGTAACAAATGTCTAAAATACAACCAATTCCATGGATTCCAGATAGATATACATAGATTTTGATTTAAATGCGTCTGTTTTATTCGGTTCCGTTGTTTAAGATTTTAAATACTAATCTGTAATATACAGTTTAAGTACACAAATACTTTTTGTAAATAGTGTAAAATCAATAGAAATTTCGTATTTTATTCAATTTTAGTTTTAATAAATTATTAGAATCTAATTAAAACAGCGAATTTTTAATAAACATATTATGTGAATAGGCTCTCAGCCTAAACTTCTAAAATGATTATTGAAATGGAACTTTTAGAAATTTTCACAGAATTTTGCCCGGGCGACTGGGTAATGAATTTTGGGACATCCGGCATAACTATAATGCATTAAATTTAAAATTCTTGTAGACGGAATCGAAGATTTTCAGCAGATAACGGGCGTGAGTTGTGGAACAAGATGCATGGCAAATATTTTTACAGCCTAGTACAGAGTAGAACTATAACACTTTCCCACGTCTATTGCAATTTTGACTCACGAATTTCAAACTAAATATATAATGACAATAAATTATTTCTCGACGGTAGGTATACTGTGATCTTTGCGCTTTTTCTATGTAAAGAAGTACCACAATGCACAACCTACTAACAGGTTAAATTCGATTTAAAATAGACGTTTTAAGTCGGAAATATTAAATAAAAAGATTTTTATTCATATAAATAAACATGGCTTTTTAATGTTCTGTAAAATGTAACACTGTGATTACGTGTTACTGTATCTGTGTGTAAACTTTTTAAAACTTATTCAATGTAATATATAGGCATTACATTTTCAAATAACTTTTAATCAAACATATTTTCATATAGAAATGAAATTTTGGAACATACTGACTTGTCATACTTAAAGAATTAGTGAACAGGTTCATATACAATAGAATTATCTCAAAATTAAATAATTATTTCCTTTAACTTAAGAAAGAGCTGACTTCCTTCAAGTTTACTTGTGAGTTAACAATAAGCTAATATTTTCGAAACGTTTGATTGAAACGAAATGATAAAAGTGCGAAATTACATTCGCAAATTCGAAGAAATATTACAATTTTAATAAAATGTAATGTAGGATTTGTAATTTCTTATATAAATAAACCATTAGCATATGGAAGTTCACAGCATCTAAAAATCCAAATCATTATTAGATCAAGAAACAAGTAAGCATTTTCTGATCATTTCATGTTAGCATTGTCGGACGCCAATAATATTTAATTTTGAATATTCTTCTCTTTGAGAATACCAGTTTGAAAACCCTTAACATTTGGTCTGATAAAATATATCTATTTGAAGCCATATTAACTTATTCCTGCACAACAAAATTGTTCTACAGGAAGTTGAATATGAAGTGAATTATTGTTTTTGCTCCTACACAACAATTCGAAATCAAATTGAAATTCAAAATGTCTAACTTAGTCGACTTAAGCAAATATCCTGTAAATCATATTTTTATAAAGTTGTATAATTTATTATTTATATATACGTAAAGTAATTTGCATAAACAGTAAGTAGGATGTATATTTTTTTGTATATTTTATTGTTTTTTGGCAGGTTGCACTCACACTTTTGCAGGTTAAACTCAAACAGTATAGTTTTGAACAACTTGTATCATTGAGAGATGGACTAGTATTATTAACTTAAATTACATTATTGTAAATGGCATTTTTTATTTAGTATATATATTTCGGGTTTATTTATACATGTTCTTCTAGATCTGCCTAAAAATAATAAGCCTTGTATATTGGTTGTTCGATTTATTCATTTTAGATATTAAGTATCACACGGCAGCATTAAGGCACGTCAAAAGGATTTTTTGTTTTCGATAGGCTTTATAACAATATGTGCTGATTTCTTTTACATATTTTTTTAAAGAAGAGGACATTCTTTAATGATCTTGGACATATCCAAGTGTTAATTATATGTAAGTTTTTAAGAATCGAAATAGTCGAGCTAACAACTTTTTAAACAATCCACTTACTTCTTTTACAGAAATAATATTATTTTTTATTGGAAATAGTTGGAAACGCTTCGTTTGTTAGAAATGTGTGCTAAACGCTCAATATAATATAACCTCTAATTATATTAACTTTTGTTGCCAGAATTAATGTTTATAGTTTTATAATTTATTATGTATATATTTTAATAGGTACCTGTTTTGTCCGTCGCAGTTACAAATCTATATTCAAGTGACATTTTTAGATGTTTGTATTAGTCCAATCTTTAGTAAACTTGTCAATACATTTGGATAAAGTGTTTGTACTTTGATGGAAAAGTACGGTTGAATGCACCTATGCAATAATTAGATTAAATAAGTTTACATTTAATTTTTCTATTGTAAAAGTACCTTCAATAAGTTTGCTTTTCGGATGGTTTCACATTGATATTTATGCAAAACGGCTTCTTGTCAGAGTTTAATAAGATTTTCAAACCCAGTGTTATAACGCCATTGGTTTCTTCAAACCTTCTCATATTAATTATGGTAGCTAAAATTATGTCTGTTTTATGTAAATATCTTGTAATAATATTTTACTGTTTGGCCTGCTATGTTGTGGTTAAACATTTCACAGCCCAATAAATACTGGACTAGATATTACTATGGAGTTTTATTAACACACGTTTATGTAAACAGGGGGTGCAAAATCTAGCTCGCCTCCTTGTGGTGCACCTGGGCAAAGTTACAGGGCTAGAATGATACGCAATCCAGATTATCAGGCGGTCTCCAGGATAGCAAAACATGCATACAGCATACAGCTCTTTTCAGAACCACCTGACAAGGACTCTTGGACTTTCTGTCAGAGTCTGCCACTTTAATATTGAGGGCATTAGCAGACCCAAAAGTAAATATCTATCTAAATTTCTTTTGGATCGTAACATTGATGTGGTTCTTCTACAGGATATACATACTGCTGACGAATCACAGCTCCAAAGAAGAGGTATCTAATATTTCTGGATATAAACTGGATGGAGCAACGTACCACGCCCACTACGGCATACCTACATATGCGCACGCCAACTTAGATAATAATCCGAAACGAACCGGGACTTGTGCTTCATGTCCACCGACCAAAACGGAAAACCTCTCCAAGTTAATCGTTGCCTCCTTGAAGACTCCCACAGGGCCAGCCCCGACCCGTACTGTTGGAAGTGGGAACACAAATCCCAGTCATCCGAGATGGAACTTCGCAGAAGCTTACTGGCAGGGATATTCAACTGCCCTTGATAAAAATGTAAGATTCGTTGCTCTCTTGCCAACCAACTATCACATATTCGCTGAAATGGTTATATCCACTGCCGAAAGGCACATTCCGCGCGGCGTAAGAAGGGAATACATTCCATGCTCGAGTGAAGCCAACCAACTCATCCACGAAGACTATGTAGAAAATGGTAGATCGGACATCGCGGATATCCTACTACAGAATCTTGACGAGGCACAAAAGGAAAAATGAAAACAAACCACTAGATATCTTGACTTTAAACATTCAAGCAGAAAGGCGTGAAACTTTTTAAATGCGTTTAAAAAGTTGGGAACTGCTGACCAAAAAGCCAATAGCGTAGTTAACTTGTTTAGAGCTAAAAAGGATAAAATGCATTCAACCATAGTCAAAAAATAATTTAAAGCTCTAAAGCGAACAACTACTATACATCAACTATCCGACACCGCTGACGAAGTGACAAAAGGTCTCCAACTCGTAAATAATGGCAAGTCACCTGGATTTGACAAAATACACCCAGAATTCCTACACACTTTGGAGTAAATACGACTATGCTAAATTATGCGCTGGCTAACAAAGCTCTTTACTAATGTCCAATTCGAGCAGTTGCCAATCGAATTCAAAGGAACAAAAATTATTGCCATTCTTAAACCGGGTAAACCTGCCGACCTATCCGAAAGCTATCGACGAATTTCCCTGGTGAGTGTACATCATAGAGAAAGTAAAATAATTTATTTTACTTTCTTTTACTTACTTACTTTTACTTACTTATTTTACTTACTCTATGGTGTACATATAAATAAACTCCTAGAGTGTCTAATTTCATCAAACAGCCTGCCTCGTCCACTGCTGAACATAGGCCTCTGCATAGAACAAGGCTTATATGGGTCTCTGTCATAGAGTAAGTAAAATAAGAGAGGTGGCAATCATATGGGGGTCCTTGTTACCGCGTTACGCAGGTAGCGCTGCAACTGGCTGACCGGCGACT